GAGCCCTCGCTTTTGCCTACCTTGAGGAGCTCCTCCTTCACAGCCTTGCAGGAAGGGAACAATTGACGGGTGCAGCAGGCGGATTAAGAGAGGCTAAGATCTGGGAGGTCGTCTCCACAGCTCTCTCGACCTCAAAAGCATAGGGGGTTGCCTGTCCTGACGCAACAATGCTTGGAGTAGTAGGAAAAATGCCTTGGGAAAAGAAGTCTGGGATAGCTGGAGCAGATGGAGTGAGTGACATGCCTGTCCTTGGCACCTTAGCAAGAGTGGAGCCATCGGCAGAGCTGGGTCCTGACTTGCGTTTGGCGCTACTCTTGCTGCTGCCCTTGATATTCTTCATTTGAGAAAGTTTAGCCCTGAGTTCAGCAGCAGTGGGCTCCATTGATGATGAACCTGTGGGACCTAAGAATAGCTAAGCCTGACCCTTAGACTAAGAAAAGAGGAGAGAGGGTACAAAGAAAAAGTGTTACCTGATATATCTTCGACGAAAAGTGGGATGGGGCCAGCAACAAAAAGTGGAAGGGGAGCTTCAACCCTCACCTTAGGAAGGCAGAACTCGTGTTCTACGAGAGCCCAAGGTTGGATGAGCTCAGAATATTTCTCTAGTTTACACTTTTCCAATTTCTGCAATACTCGTTCCTCTTCAGCGCTGAGCTTAGGTCGGATACCTAGAAAATCAAGAAAAATAAGAAGTAAGTTAACAAAGCAGCCAGACTTGGAGTAAATACGGTCTGGGCAGAAACATACCCAAATTATCGAGGGCAGACCACTCTATAGGGATGGAGAGGGTATCAGCTTTATTCTCTGAGTTGAACTCCCACTGTGTACCGCCTATAAAGAAAAATCATTTCTTCCAGCCCTTATGGGAGCTTGGGAGGTCAGAGATGACTTGTTTGGCCTTAGTCCTCTTGGAAATATACAGAAAGTTGTCGGAGGAGGTCTGCTTGACATTGAACAACTCCATAAGTAAAGAAACAGTAAGGACCCCAAGCTTATGGTCCTTAAAGAAGACTAATAAACCCACAAGAACACCCTAGAAGTTGGGAGAGAGCTGGGCAGGACAGACATTGAAGTGCTGAAAGACAGCTTTGATAAAAGGATGAAGGGGGAAGCGAAGTCCGTTATCAAAAGCTGCCAGGAAGAAACAGACCTTCTTATGGACATGGTGAACATATGTGGTGTACTCATCAGGACTCTAGGGCTGAACCCCCTGGGGGGAAACGAAAGCGAGCACTGAAAACCTTCAGGTCAATAGGGGTAAGTTCGCTAGAACCTACAAGTTCAGCGTTCCTAAAGGCAGCCCCTATGCCAGAACCAATGACTCCCACACCATTCACCCTGCCCCTTACCCTTGTCAGCACTAGGGGGTACATGAGAGGAAGATGAGGGGAGTTCCTTGGAGTCCACCTCAGTATTGACAGCCTCAACATCGGAAAAGTTGTCAATCTCATCACCTACATCCCCTAAATCAGAATCTTTCTCAGCAGACGTGTAGCCTAGGAGGGAAATAGAGGAGGGAGTTGTTCCAGAGGAGGCAGACATGACTGGCAAAGAGAAAGGCAAGTCGAAAGAATTATAAAAAGGAGGAATAATAACTAAACACCCTCTGATAATCCTAGGGTCAGCACTGTACCTTCTGATAGTAAGAATTCGCACAGTGGAGTTTCAATCCACAAAGCGGGGAAGAGGAGATAGGCAATGATTGCGATTTCAAAAGAAAAAGAACCAAAAAACCCAAAAAAACAATGGCCACCTCAAAGTCGAGGGATTCAAAGTGAGGAAAGGCAAGAGAAAGAGAAAGGAGCAGAAGGAAGCGTACTTGGACAGGGAAGAGAGCAACAAACAGCAGCCAAAAAACAAAATTGGAGGAGAGGAGCAAAGCAGGATTTCGAGTCGAACCCAGAAAACACAGTCTAGAGCAGAGAATAAGGGAATCACATGGAGGAAAGCCCAGAAATCATAGAAAGAAAGAGCCGGAGACGAAGGTGAACAGCGTAGAAGATGAATGGTGATTTTATAAGTTTTATTTCAGCCGTTTTGAGCATTTAAAGCTTGAAAGACGTGGGGTGAGGCGTGCGCGGAACCAAGGGAGCCATAATTGCTTATACCGTCAAAAAGCCCCTCCCACGTGCATCTCACATGTAGGCTAAGGTCAGCTAGGCGCAGGTCTGGTCCAAGGTAAAAGCAGCTCAGCCTATGCCCAAGCTCGTTTGGGCTAAGGGCTGGGGGGGGCAACTGATGATACCTCAAAATAAATTTCAAACGCCAGCTCAGAAGGTTAGCTCAGCCCAGAAGGTCAGACTAGACAAACAGAACTCGAAAGAGTAGAGCTGGAGGTCCCTTCGAGATAAGCAAGGGCAATAACAACCAAGGCAACAGATGAAAGATCACGAGAGGTTCCTAAAAGCGTTAGAAAACAATAATCAAGGCACCTAATCTCAACCAACCAAGATCTTCTCCTATAATCAAGGAGAACCCCACGAAATAAGGGTCAGAATCTCAGCTAAAATCCCACTGAATAGGAAACAACCCTATAAATACTACGTGTAACACCCCCAAGGAACGAGAGGAACCCTAGAGGCAAAAACTAGTCATTGTACTCTTGCAATCATCATTATTGAAAGACAAGGAGCAAGAGTCTCCATTAAAGAGTGAATTAGTCGAGCTCCCGAGCTGGTGAACTACTATATTCCTATTATGTTAATTCCCCAATTCCCAGACAATTCTCAATATCATTCACTCGAGTCTAGTAGTTCAGATCCCAACAATTCTAATATTATTTTCTTTCATTTACTCATCATCACAAATTCTCATCACATTGAAATACACCATCAAACACTAATATATATATAACCCTCTCATATTCTTTTATATAGTTACTAATATAAAAATAAGGAGAAACATACAATTTTATGCTTTCTATAACTTACACTAATTATCAAATAGAACTTAATCATTACTTTATCTTCTCAAGTCATATTCATTAATTGAAGCTCAAATTCATCTAAAAATAATATCGATCGACTCACTATTCCTCGTCATTTTTTTTCTTAGTTTTGTGACTTGATAAGTTTTAGTATAAAATATGTTTATTACATTCTGGGTAAATATTTTTTTAAAAAAAAAAACTAGTTAAGTGTGAGTTTTTGTTTTTGCAAAAAACAATGAGGGTACCATGTGAAATCTTAAAAAACTACAAGGGCTAGAGTATAATTTGTCTAATTTTTTATTTTTTTTGGAGTTTTAAAACTAAAGTACATTTGAGAAAAGGAATCGAGTGATGTCCACCTTGCATTTCCGTACATTACAACTAGGGGTGACAATCGAGTCGTATTGTGTCGGATTCGTGTCGTGTCGAACATTAGTCAACTCATATCCAACTCATTTAATTATTTGTGTCGTGTCGAGTTGACCTGTTTATTTTCGTGTTCTGTTCGTGTTCATATTCGTGTTGACCTACATAAACTTTGAATAAAAAATTTAACGCTAAAATTTTATTTTCACTTAATTGAATTTCTCCTCGTACTTTTTTTACAAACTAAAAATTAATTTAATAATAATAATAATAACAATAATGAGTAATAGTATCTTTTTTAAACAATAATTATGTTAATATTTGATAAACAGTTACAAATAATTAATATTTTATTTATATAATACTAATTAAATATGTTAATTGTACACCATACAACCAAATTAAACATCAAAAGTAATAGAAAAAATAAGTCATCAAAACATGAAAACTTATACATGTCAAGTCATTCTCCTTCGAATTAAAAACTTCGTGTTAAACGGGTTGAACCTGAATACAACCCATTAACACTTTGTATTGACGGACCGTGTCATACGCAGGTAGTGTCAAAAAATTAATCAATTCAAACTCATTTATTCGTATCATATTTTGTATCAAATTATTGTGTCGTATCGAAAATTGCCCCCTCCCCGGATTACAAGCGTCCAGGTGCGACACAATAGTTCATTACAAGGGGACAGGTGCGACACAATAGTTCTTTAGTGTGTCGTAACTCTGTCCTCTGCTCAGTCATTCGGATCCTAATTACAAGCAAAGGTTTCTTGTGCCTCTCTCTCTCCCTCCCTCTCCCTCTCTTTGTCTCTCTCTCTTCAATCTTCAATCTGCTTCTATTATCTCACAATTTTTGTGTTTGTTTTCTTTTGTTTTTTTTTTTGATTGGCATGGCAGGTTCGCTGAAAATGATCAGTTTTTAGTTAATCCAACCTCAATTAATTCGTCGAAATTTCACTTTCCCAATCGCTACCCCCTTTCTCTCTCTGTGTCTGTAAGTGTTCTCTCTGTGCTTCTTTTTTTTTGGTGTTTCTGTTCGGGCGTTAATTTTTTTAGAAAAAGAGAGTGAAATTATATATGTTTTGAGTATGTGTGTGGCTGTGTGTGATTCTGATTGTTTCAGCGACCCAGAGGAGCCTAGTTAATATTTATTTGAACTGGGTTGAAATTAAAATCTGTTTTTATCTCAGTAATTAGAGGATTTTGAATTCTTACAATCTGTCTGTATCATTACAATCTATATGCGTTGTTTGTATGTTTCTAATTTCTTTTGGGCTCTTCTTAGAATTTTCTTTTGGATTTTGTTTGCTCTCGTTGTTTAGTTGCGGAAATTGATTACGCAAGTCAAGGGAAAGAAATGGAAATGAAATTATGTATTACTTGTTTCAATTGTTTATTTATCCATGTAATTACAGACCCCTCTCCCCAAGGACATAATCATCCTAATAGGCTCCGTTGGATTGAGAATTTTGTTCTCTCAGGTAATGGATTTTGAAGAGCCAATGATTCAGAAGCTGTATATTTGTGTGTGCGCATGATGCATTTGTGCCTGTGTGTGGGTGTTCACAGTTGTGCATCTATTTGTTTTTTTGGTCTGACAGGTGTGCATCTATAGAGTGGAATTATTTCTCTTTTTTTCTTCAGCGACTTAGAGAACCCTGAGATGTAATTAGCGCAACATGTTTAGCATTCTCAATAATTAGGATTTCACTTGTGAATAGTTTAGTTGAAGTTTTCTGGTTGTGACTATTGTCATTATTTTCTTTTGAATGCAACCAGTATGGTTTACTAAGACTTTTCAGCTTAATTTAGAATGGCTAACTACCTTATTGTCCATCTCATGTTTTTTGACTTTTCGTTAATGCGCATAAGGTCTAATTTTTTTAGTAAATTGGTACCTGGGTACTGATAATGAGTCTAGAACTTTGGAATGACTCTTAGAAGTCAAAAAGAAAAGAAAAGAAAAGAAAAAGGATTTATGTTGTTTCCATAAAAATTAGCAGGGAGGATATCGATTTCAATATGAGGCAGATTTGTGTTATCTTTGACTACCATCACTCTCTTGGCTCATGTTAGTTGAGCTTTCCTATGCCCATTCCCTTCTTTAGATCACTTTCATTGTTTTGGAGTGCCTGTGGCTTGGTTTTTCAAGCTTCATAGTTCAGAGGCTATTTTAGAATCTAATTCAATTAATATTTTTTCCTGAATGTGTTAACCCTGGCTAACTTTGTCAATACATGATGGATCAATGTTGTTATATTGTAGCAATTTTACTTGCTGCATTTGCACCTGAATGTTCGTATTTGCTTTTTTTTCCCTACATATTGAATAGCGATTGGTGATTCTGGGCTTTGGTAATTCAACAATTAGCTTGTACTGTTTCAGGACTAATGGCTAGTCAAGTTTTTGCAAATCGGCCAATGTCTTCCTTTGAGTTTGAGCTTGTTGAAGGTGACTCTGATCAGCATAGGAGTGTTGTAGCATCACCAAACCAGGTTAGTCCATGGATTGACCCAACAACGATAAAACTCAGGCACCGAATTGGAAGGGGTTCTTTTGGTGACGTTTGGTTGGCAACCCATCATCAAACAACTGAAGAGTATGAACAGTATCATGAAGTAGCTGTCAAGGTGTTACATCCTATTAAGGATTACAATGCTCAGGATGTATTGAATATGTTGAATGATTTGTTTTCTAAGTGTCGAGGATTAAAAGGTGTTTGTTGGCTGCATGGTGTTACAACTATAAGTGGAAAGGTCAGTTTGTTATTCCAATTATTGACAAAACTAAGATATGGTCAACTTCATTACTGAAATGCTATACATGTCCTTTCAGATATGCATTGTTATGAAATTTTATGAGGGCTCCATTGGTGATAAAATGACTCGCCTTAAAAGGGGAAAGCTGTTACTACGTGATGTTTTGAGGTTATTTTTATTTTCATCTAAAATCTATTTAACGCATAATGCATATTGTTGTGTGCACCATACTCAGTTTGTGCTTTCATAATGATGTCAACAGGTACGGAATTGATCTAGCTGAGGGAATAATGCAACTACATTCAAAAGAGATCCTAGTCCTAAACCTTAAACCTTTTAATTTTCTTTTGGATGAAAATGACCAGGCAGTGCTTGGGGACATAGGGATTTCTTGTGTATTGCTAGGTACTCCATTACCGAGGTCAGATATGACTCGAAGACTTGGTACTCCAAACTATATGGCTCCAGAACAATGGCTACCAGAAGTAAGAGGTCCGATATCCTTTGAGACTGATTCGTGGGGATTTGGTTGCAGCATTGTGGAGATGTTGACCGGCATGCAGCCTTGGCGTGGTAAATCAGTTGACGAGATATACACCTTGGTTGTGGAAGAGCAAGAAAAACCATACGTTCCTGGTGGTCTTCCTCCAGCAGTTGAAAATGTCATTATTGGATGTTTTGAGTATGACTTCAGGAGTCGCCCTCTAATGGAAGACATATTACATGCATTTAAAAGGTAGTCCTTTGATGTTTTCTTCACATGGAGCTTCAGATATTAAAATTTCCATATATAATTACTATGTGTAGAAGATGGAGGCATTTGTTGGTGTTGAATTTGGCTCAAAATTATATTTGATTGAATCATGGTTTCTAATATGGATGCTGAAACAAAAACAATGCTGCAAATTATTAGCTTTCAAAGGAAAACTTATTGTACCATATAAGTAAAGTCCTTAAATGATAATACCAAAAAAATAAGTAGTTTTTCTATGGGTGAGATCCAGATTGTTGTAGAATCATCATACAAAAATTGGTTGCCTGATTAGCGATCAGTTATTGAATAAATAATACATATTTTCTGGAATTAAAAAAAAAAAACCATGTTTAGTTTATTATATTGCCCCCTCTTTAAGTTCTTGAAAATTTGTATAGTGACCTCTGTTCATTTTTTGCCAAAAAGCTAGTGATCCGTTCACCCCATATTGGGCCTGTTTGGAGATGTCCTTTTTAGGTGAAAAGTTGCGGTTTGAAAAGCTTCGCAAAAAAATAGAGTTAAAAACGTCCTCCAAAGCCGTTTGGGGTATTCTTTAAAACTCTAGAAAAGTTTATTTGGAGTGATTTTCTAACTTTTTTGTGTCAAAATAAAAAAAAATAATTACATGTATAATCGTTTTCAAAATATGAATTTCAATTTTTTTTACGCCACTAATAATATTTTATGAATATAATAAAGTACAAAATTATGTGGGACCCACGACAAAACTCTAAAAAACCAGAAGAAAAGTTCATAAAATAAGTTTCTTGAATCAGCCTAAACTATTTTTTTGGGTCCAAAAAGTTGCTACACAAGCTGATAAAAAAGTAAGGTCCAAACGGAAGTGGCTTATTTTAATCCAAAGTCCTAAAAGCTACCTATTTAAGCTAGTTCTACACAGACCCAACCTACTACAATAAATATTTTATTTTTAGACCAAGTAAACCAGATGTGAAATGTCCTAACTCATTTGACTAAAGGTATTACTGCTTTCATTAATACACTTCCTCGTATTTTTAGAAAAGAATTGTGTAGCTGTCTATGATTCTGTTTTGATAAATTTGTGGCTCGAAACTTGGTAACACACTAATAGATGCAAATAGTAAAATATACTACGAAAGCGTTTAAGGTCTTCAAAAAAATCAATTTCTCAACAACATTGAAAGAAAATTACTTAGAAATTTATGTCATGGGAATGATCAACTACCAATGTTGTCGTGTTCTATTTTAAATTTTTTATTTGTTTGAACTGGCACTTTGATATATAATTGAGCTGAAATGTACTATGAAAAATTATTGTCTTTGTTTGTTATTATTTTTTTTATTGTTGCATTGATATTGGTTTTAATTTTCATATGCTAATTGGATCATGAATTTTGATATATTATTTCTCAAACTTGAAATTAGAAATTTTCTTGTATAGATATAAAACCCAATTTAGTCCTTATTAATTGAGGTCCAAAAAAAAATTTTCATTCATGTTTTTTCTCCCTGTAAGATGGTGTCTGGGCTCCAACCCCTGGTTCTAGGTGCATGAGATATTGTCAATTTACTCTCAATTTCTCACTGTGAAAACTGAAAGATAAATTACAAAGTTGAGAAAGCTTTTTTCCTCTTTATTGAAAACTAGTGGAATATAAAGTGGGAAGAACAATAAGTGTTTACCTGTGGAATTGACTCACCCCTCTTGGAAGAAAAATTGATTGGAGAGCATGCATAGATTTTTACTGCATTATCCCTCTTTTTCACTGCATTATCCCTTAAGAGGATGATTGTTGGTGAATTCCTTAACGAGAGCGGACAAAATCTTTCATCAGGGCTATAGGACTATAGGAGTGCATGAAGTTACATGTTGCGTGCTTTGTAAATTTTTTATGAGCTAGTCTATACTCTCAACTGTTACTTATCCGTTTGCATTGGATAGCCTGCATATTGGGCTATGTTATGATAATTGTATGTCAGAATTTATTTGGTGTGTTTCAGCATAGTTTACACTAAATTACCTTGGTGTAGATACTATGTGTTTAAATAAATTGAAACTCTATAGCTGGTGTAATGCGTTTGTGGGACTCTCTAAAATTGGAGCTGCCTCTATTTTGTAGTCAATGGACTTAGAGATCTCCATGGTATATGTGTGGACAGAACCTGAAGTCATAAGTATAGTAGTTGCACAAAAACTGCATACAAAACAGTGTGAACGCTGTTGGTTGCACAAACTAGTAGACATTACCAAATATTTTTAGTTAATTTTAAGGGAATTTTTTTGTTGAAAAGGTAATTTTTGTTTTGGACTTGAAAAGCAAACAATACAACATATGTCAGATCTGCAGGATTCCTTTAATGTAATATATCAAAAGTCATCCTCTTTTCTGTCGGATGTAGGGCATGATTGACATTTTTATAGGACGAAGGTTGGAGAACGGCATGCTGCTGTACCCATTCTTCTGTTCTCATTCAAATTGAAGTATCAACATCCCATAATTTTAAAGACTTTGAAGAAATTAAGCAAAATAGGCCACAAAAATATTTGTTGGCGCTTCTATTACCAAAGAACCAACCCAGTCTGTCAGTTTTGAGGATAAGAATGAGAATACCAGTGGTTATACACCTATGCACTTGTAGTAACATTCTTTAATAGATACATGTGTCTTCTAGGTCAGCTACGGATACAACCTGTGTTGCCTTCGGACAATTTTGCTTTGTAAATGTTAAGACAAGCTATAGATTACTTTCATTGGACTCCCATTGAGGGGAAAAAAAACTGGATGGAGCAACCTTTTGAGGCGGATATGCTATTTTCCAATGTAGGAAATAAAATTCTCCTAATCTGATCTAGATGGTTTTACTGTGTCTATTTTTTAGCACTGGGAGGTGGCGGATGTTTGCAGATTTTTTTCAGATTGGTGTGGTGAATGTAATAATTAATGATACTTTTATCTATATTATTTTAATAAAAAAAAAATTCCTGAGGATCCAAGGATTTTAGAATGATTACCTAGTTACAAGCCACTACAAGGTTGTTGCAAAAAAGTTATCACCAAGGCTTAGGGAGAGCTTGAGTAATACCATTTCAGGTTTTCAAGAGGCCTTGAGTAAGTAGAGACAGATTATGCATGGAGTTTTGGTGGCAAATGAGATTGAAGATTATAGACGAAGAGGTGTGGGGGACCTTGTTGAAGTTTAGTGTGATGTCTGGACATGAAGTTACTGTGGATAAGAGTCTGCATGCATGTTGGAGTTTACCCTAGTCAAAAATCAGGATCAGATTATTAGGTTGGCAAGGGTTTTATGATATCTTGGAGGAGGTTGATCTCTTGAGTATTTGGAGCGGCGTTCAAAGTATTGGCCGAGTCCAAGTCGTATCTGCCTCAGTCCGTACTGAACCAATAGCGATACACGTTAAACCAAATCAACAAGTCTCACTGGAATTGACCTTGAATCGGAGTAGAATTAGTAAATCGGTACAACTTGGGCTTAACTCGATCGACTTGGACCAACTTATCACTGAGTGTGACGATTCATGATAAAATTACATAGACCAATAAAATACAACAAAAGCCAGCCAAAAAAAAAAAAGAGATGCAGAAGAAAGAAAGAAAGAAAGAGTCGATACCCACATGAAAGATGAATACATCTGGCTGAAACCTACATGCAAAGTTGAATCGGAGCAATTTTAGTCCCCCACACGATATCCATATGGTTTTTGGTAGGGCAAAGAAGAAATTGGAAGCAAATATAAGCTATTGTCATTCTGTGAACGAGTCTCGATCTCGTTCTTCCTCCTTTTTTTATTTTTCTTCCTCTTCATCGATTCTTTGTCTGGACTTCACCATGTCATGGCGATCAACTGCACGCCATTCTCGATTTGCTTGGACTTCAACTTCTGGTCTCGAATTGCGAACAAATTTCCCTTTGGGGAAATCTACCAGCCCTCTCTCTCTCTCTCTCTCTCTCTCCTCCTCTGATTTCACTTTGTTTTACGGTCTGTGTCAAATGGAACAATGTGAAGGCTTTTCGTTAAATGTTATTAGTAATAGCATTAAATTAGTATTAATTTCTTTTTATTTTTTATTTATCGCTTGGGTTCGGTGTGCTAGGCATTTCTTTAAATGTTATTAGTTGTAGTATTAAATAGTATTAATTGCTTTGTATTTTTATTTGTCTCTTGCGTCTGATAATTGATTATATACTTTAGTTGCTATTTTTCTATTAATTGACTTTTAAATTGATCTTTGCATTAAATTGATGTATTACTTAATTTTGGAGGTTAATTGGAGAAATTAATATGTTGTCATTAGATTGGCAATGAATCCTATACAAATTATAAGTTCTTAAATATCTTAATTGAACACTAATAATTTACAATTTATAAGTCCTTAAATATCAAAATTGAACACTAATAGTGGTAAATATTTTTGGTAACACACTTGCATTCAATTTTCACTATATTTGATGTACTAGATGATTTATTTTGAACATAAAAATATAATTCATTGATGTTGTTATTTATATTTTTAAGAATCTTGCTATGATTATTTTAGAATTTTTTATCTAGTATTTTTATGTATCTATTAATACCAAGTTGCGATACCGTGATTAATGTGTATCAGTATTGCTCAGTTGATGACCAATACTGAGACCTTGAATCATGATTTAAGAATTCTTTAGGTAGTAACCTTTTTTCGATTAGAGACATAATTTTTGATTAAATAGAGGAAAATATTACAAAATGTGAACAAGAAATCGACCAATCAAAAAAGAAAAAGAAATTATAAGGCAATATAAACTTAGACCATTAGCGGTAATCATCTAACTACATGTCGGGATCTGATCTATATTATGGGGAAAGAATGGCATGTCCCTAAATTCTTCAGATGCTAGCACCCAAAGGGGATATGCTAAGAACTTTACTTAGTCCCATAAAAAGTAGACGTATTATTCCTTCTTATTGAAAATTCTTTTATTCTTGATCCATACAACCGAAAT